TGACCATGCCAATGCGGCGCTCACCAATCCCATTTTGCTGTGGAGAGTCCGAAATCGTGAAGGTCTGGCGGATGCCTCGTGCACGACAGTAGGCTCGCAGAAGGTCAGAGGAGAACTCTCCGCCTCTGTCAGAGTGCAGACGCAGAATAGGAAAGTCCGAGCCGAAGCTCTGCCTGAGCTGGAGACGAGCTGCGTGGATCCAGTCGATCAACACCTCAGTGACATCACCCTTGCTGCGCAAGGGGAATACTGTGGTGTAACGCGAGTACTCGTCAACCACCAGCAGGAAGTAGCGCTCGTGACCCTGTCCACGGACGAGGGCCGGGCCCCACACGTCTATGTGAAGTGTCTCCAGCGGGGCCTGTGTCGGAGGAAACTGGGAGGAGTGAGGGGCAGCACGTTGTCGCCCCTCGACACAGGGGACGCAGGCAGGGGCAGGCTCCGGGGGAAGGGGGGGGAGGGACCGGGGAAGACCAGAGACAATGACACGGGAGGCCATGCCTCGGAGACGAAGCAGAAAGGGGTGACCAAGGCGGTGGTGCCAGAGGAGAGTCTCGTGAGACAGGAGGCGACACGAGCAGGGGGCAGACTCAGGACCAGACCTGGACGCTGTAGCAAACACCTGACCCGATGCAGCTACCTGACCAGACGCAGTGACAGGAGGAGACTCAATGGTTAGTGTGTACAAGCTCGACCCCGGCCGACGTGTAAACGTGGCCTGGTGTCGGCGTGTCCGAGCGTCCGTGCAGTGGGTCACCCGCTGACTCGCAGGAGTGAACTGGTGAACCCCCGCATCCTGTAGGTCAGCACCACTCACCAAGTTCGTAGGGAACGAGGGGAGGTAAAGACCAGACAGGGTGCCAGAGGGGGCCGCCGGACACGGGAGGACAATGGAGAAGTGAGCAAGGACAGGACCCCCAGAGGGGTCTTCCAGAGAGAGTGCAACTGGCCGACCAAGCGGCGTGAGTGTGGTGCGGTCTCGAAAGAAGGAGCGAGAAGCCCCCGAATCAAGGGTGAAGGTGTGGGAGGCCGAAGCCGACGCGGTACCTGAGAGAGCAGACTCACCTGCACCTAAGGAAGCAAACACACTGGCACCTAGAGCAACAGCCTCGCTAGCACCTAGAGCAGCAGCCTCACCAGTACCTAGAGCAGCAATCTCAATGCCCGGGTCGGGCGGAAAACACTGGTAACAGTCACCCTCATCACTAATAGTCACAGCATATATGGCAGCAAGAATAGCATCAAATTCAAGGTCAAAGATAGCTACTCCCGCCCTAGACAGCTCGCCCCAGCGAGGGATCTCAGTGGCCTCAGGGAACTGGTGACGCCAAGCGTCCGTCAGGCGGCCAAAGCAGCGCTGGGTGGAGTGCGCGCCCCCGCACTGCTCACCCGCGCGGTCGCCAGTGCGTAGAACGTAGGTGCACGGACCAGTACCCCCACCCCGCTGGCGTGCAGCGTACCACTCACGGAGCTGCTAAGGGGGGGGGGGTTTCACGAGTGCGCTGCTGCTGCTGGCGCTAACCACCACCGGAGCCGACCCTCTGCGCAGCGCCACCCCAACCAGCTCTGCCTCCTCCGCCGCCGCCTCCTCCTCCGCCGCCACCTCCGCCACCTCCGCCCCCACCGCCATCGCCGCCTCCGCCTCCGCCTCCACTGCCGCCACCGACACCTCCACCCCCGCCACCACTCCCACCACCACCCCCACCCCCTCCACTGCCGCCACCGCCACCTCCGCCACCCCCGCCAGCCCCTCCAGCGCCCTTGCCCCCCTTGCCCTTGCCGGTGCGGCGTCTTCCGCTCGGGGCAGACGCAGCGCCGACCGACTCGAAACCAACGAGGTCGGCCGCAGCAGCAGAGGCAACAGAGGGCAAAAGGGGGGAGGGGGAACACCCCTCAAAGACGGGGTGCGAGGGTCACCACGAGAGGCTCCTACAGCGACTATGCTCTTCTCTGCCGCTAGGAGGGCTTTCTCGAGGAGGTCAACGGTGAGAATGGTGGGGCAAACTGAGAGGAAGTGGTCCCTGACTACGCGGAGAGAGTCAGGGAGCCGGGTGACTATGTAGTAGAGGTTGATGTACATGGGAGGGGGGGTTCTTGGCGTAGAACTCAGCAGGAAGCGCAGCGCGGTAGCGAGTGTCACTAGTGCGGAGGTGCGTAATGAGGTCAGGGACTGTGGGAAAGGCAGCAAGGTCAGGGAAGAGGTACAGTAGTATGAGGCGACTCATTGCAACAGTGGCAGGGGAGGAGTAGCGCGCAACTACAGCGTCGTACAAGGTCTGAGCACTCTTGTACTGGCTAAAGTGCGCACGCTCAGAGGTAGGCAGGTGGCGACGCACAGCAAGACGTGCAGCAGCATCGCGTGTGGCCCACTATGAGCGAACAGTGGCGCCAGCATCAGCATCAGGGGCAGGAGAGGCACCAGAAGTGAGGTCAAAGAGGGAGAGACCGTCTGCCCTATCGCACTGTAGGAAAAGCTGCAGGTCATCTACCCAGACGTCAAAGTCAATGGCCCGACCCTCAGCGTCAAAAGCGAGGACACTAGGGGTAGCCATGACAGCAGTAGACTAGCAGCGCGAACAGTAGGGTAAGGGTAGTGCAGTGATAGAGGCGCTGCTCTTACCGGACAGGGCGGCTCGGGCGGCTCGGCGGCTCGGCAGGAAATGCAGCTCGGCTACTCGGCGGCTCTGGCGGCTCGGGCGACTCGGCGGTACGGCGGCTCGGCAGCAACTGCGGCTCGGCGACTCGGCAACTCTGGGTCGAAAGAGGGGAGCGCGACTCGGGCAGAGTAGAGCGCGCTCCGGGCAGGAAAAGAAAGGTGGTGGGCCCTAGGAACAGTTCCCACAAGGGAACCTGCTCGATACCATGAGAAAATGAACGAGAATGAAAATGACTAAGGGAAAGTTGGGTACAAGTACAAACCCTAGAAAGTCGTACCCCATATGTGCTACCCCACTATAGCCTATGTCATATAAATCTGACTAAGAGATACGGTTATAACTACTTTACTGTTGCTGTTGCGGTTCGATACAGAGACGACTCGAGCAACTGCTCTGTAGCGAGTCAGTTGTGTGTCCTTGCTGTCGTGCTGTACTTGTCAGGTCAAAGGTCGCTGACCTTTGACTTTCGCGTAACCTCTAGCAACCGCTCAGCCTTCGAGGGTTGACTCGCTGGTGCTTCGATATACTTTGCTTCGCTTCTGACTTGGTGTTTCGACACGACAGAAGCGCTTAGGACCGATTGTTTCCAACATAACGAAACTACAGAGGTAACGGTAAAGAACTGTGGTTGTCGCGCGACGGGCCTGGGACTGAGGTTTGGGGAATCGTCGAAGCAGAGGCCCGGAGCGCAGGTTACCCGCCGAGTCGTGAGCAGGGCTCTTGCTAGGATTTAGGCCTGTCTGAAGTCCCCCCCCCCCAAAAAATCGTTTTGTCTGACGTTCAGACGGGAAAAAAAAAAAAGACTGATTTTTCAGACGAAAGTTGGAGCTTAGTCTGATTCATAAGACAAAATGTGTTCCATGGTCTGCTTGCTGTATTACACTAGTCGGCCGTGAAAACGGTATGATTCAGTCTTTACGAAGTACGAAATGAATGCGCGACGTTGACAACCTGCTAGCAGACAGTCATAGCAAGTTGGGCGCCTAGAGGGACTGGGGGGGGGGAAGTTGGGCTGCGAGGGACATGCATGGGTGGGTCCATTTCTTACGCGACGGACCAGGGGGGTGGAGGGACTTGAGGGGAAGGGGGCTGGGCTGGGAAAGGTGTAGGGGAGCTAGGCGGGGGAAGGGGGGATGGACTAGGGTTGCGCAGCGAGAGGCTAGGCTGGTAGAGACTTGGTGGTGAGGTTGGGTTAGGAGAAACGCGTGAGGGACGGGACTTAGGGCAGGGAGGACTGAGGGGAAGGGGGGGGGTGGGAGGGGGAGGGGGCAGGCCAGTACGGTACTTTCTCCGTACCAGATGAAATTGTACGCGCTTTCTGATTTTTCAGACGGAATATAACACTTAGTCTTTTTTTTCAGACGAAATAAAATCATTCATCTTGTGGTTCAGATGAAAAAAAAACCATGGTCTGGAATATCAGATGAAACAAAGAAATCAGGTCTGATTTTCAGACCATCAGACCGATTTGGTCTGATAACCAGAGCCCTGGTCGTGAGGTCGGGGTGCGACGTGCGAAGGTGGCGGGAGGATTGTCGATGCGATGGTTGCGAGTGGTGACGGTGCTGACTGTGCTGCAACAGTGGTGTACGCGCTGAACGGGGACGCGAAGTAAGAAAAAGGATTTTTCCTAACAACGGGCGAACAACGGCTGCTGCTATACGCGATGTTGCAGTGCGCGCTAAGGAATGTCGAGAAAATTCCTTACAACCCGTAACAGATTCTAGCTCGTTCAATTTCACTCGTAACAAACAACATGGAATGGGTGTGCATACATCGAGTCCCGTCGCCACACATCCAATTTTTAGGGATGTGCGATGGAAGGGTGATATGCGATTCCTTGTGAGCGTGATGACACGGAGGTGCTGAATAACACCACGAAAGTCGTCGTTCGCGCGAGTTTCACAGCCTGCCCAGCCCACTCATGCTCATCGCCCACGATTTCGTCACGCCAGTTCTTCGCCAACGTTATTTCGTTGCCACAGCAGCACCACCCAGCGAGAACCACGCCACAGTTGGACGACCGAACCATCCCCGTCGCACTGAACGGTATGCCTGGTCGCGTGCGACGTGCTATCCGTCAAGCCTCGCCGGCAAGCGAACAACCCCCTCTCAGAGTCGCCCTCCCACACTTCCGAGCCGCACAATCCATCTCAATCGAGAAAAGAGAAATGCCTTCCCAGCCTCCACCTCCTCCCACCACAGCCCCTCGCTAACTCTTTTCCATAAATTCCGCCCATAAACTCCATTCCTCATCGCATCTCAACCCAGCTTCACAAAGCAAGCCCTTCAAACGCTCCTGTTCCTTTTATCGAATAGTCTGCCTGCTTCCGAAGAATAGCCATGGCGTACTCGAGAATGTCCGCGCTAGCCTGTGCGCTGCCCCTGGTGGCGCTCGTCCTGGCGTCGCTCTGCCTCAACGCCTCCGCCGAGCTCGCTGTCCCCGAGGCTGCCTCGTCCTCGCTTGCCGCTGCCATGTCCGGCGATCTGGCTCAGCTCGACGCCACAAATGCTCTCAGCGACGACGCTGCGACGAGGAGGATTCTCGACGACGACGACGACGACGATGATGACGAGGACAAGGACAAGAAGAAGAAGGACAAGAAGAAGAAGGAGGACAAGAAGAAGGAGGACAAGAAGTCGAAGAAGTCTCCTCCCACTCCCTCGCCTTCCACTCCCACCACTCCCAACAAGAAGGGCGGCAAGAAGACTCCCCCCACTCCCACAACCCCCGCCACTCCTGGTAAGCCCGCCACTCCCGGCAAGCCCGGCACGCCCGGCGCGGGGAAGCCGGCGGTGAAGCTGAGCGGGTCGGACTCGAAGGTGGTATCGCTGCTGGATGCGGCGGCGGTGGACGTGGACAGCGCCAAGGCGAAGCTCTCCGTCAAGACGTACGTCAAGAGCCTCACGGACACGGCGGCGGCGCTGCGCAACGCCGCCATTCTGATTCGCACTGGGCAGCGCACGCTGGTGGCGGGGCAGATCGACAACTCGATCGCCACCATCAACGGTGTGAGCATCATGCTCCCCGCCGGCGGCGCCGACAAGAGCCTGCTCGCGTCCGCCCTTGGCAAGGCGCAGAGCGCCAAGGCCGCGTGGAAGGCGTAACGCGCACGAGCCCGGATGGCGTCGCGGGATCTCCGAATAACAGGGTGGCTCAATGATGTGAATGGCCACTTTCATACAAGGCGCGAAACTAGCCGTTGTCCTTGCTGGTTTACATTGCAGTTTAGTACTCAGGTGATGCCAGCACCGACCATAATAACTTGGCCAATCGTTGCTAGTATTGTTTCTCGTAGACATATCAAGATGTTCAGCTGTATGGATTGTACTTCACCAATAAGATGTGTCTCACCGAGCTCACTTTTCACATGGTGCGCGAAAAGAACTTGTCCCATTTCCAAGTTCTCTATCATTTGCCTTGCTCGGATCTGCATCTAATGGGTTGGTTTGGGCGAGTAGGATAGCGTGGAGTTGGGCGGTGGGGCGTGTGAGTGCGTCGGCGATGTTGGATGCGCCTTTTTTGAACGTGACCGTGTAGTGGAAGTTGGACTCCAGATAGTCCAACCAGCGAATCTGTCGCAGGTTGAGATTCGGTTGGGCGCAAAGGTACTGTAGGGATCGGTGGTCTGTCTGCACTATCACGTCTGCTCCCGTGAGGTAACATCGCCACACCTTGAACGCGTGCACGATCGCCAGCATTTCGCGGTCGTGTATCGGATAGTTGCGTTTAGGTGGGTGAAGCTTGCGGACTCGTACGCGATTGGCTGAAGGCCGTTCCCGAAGTCCTGCAACAATACTGCTCCCACAGCGATGTCGCTAGCGTCGGTGACGAGCTCGAACGGACGATGTGGATCTACGATGTGAAATACGGGCGGTGAGCACAAAACATTTTTGAGGGCCGAGAAGGCAACTTGCTCTTTCTCCCCCCACGTGTACTCAACCCCCTTCCTCAGCAGGTTGGTCAACGGGGCAGTCAGCTTTGCCATGTCGGGGACGAATCGGCGCACGTAGTTGAGGAACCCCAAAAAACTCTATAGTGCGGTCAAGTTGGTCGGCGTGTGCCATGCTTGAATCGTCGCAATTTTTTTCGGGTCTATTTCCACTCCTGCAGCTGAAATGATGTGTCCCAAAAATTGCAGTCGGTCCTGTAAAAACCCACACTTAGATGCTTTTGTCAGTAGGCGGTTCTCACTCAGTATCTTAAAAACTCCTTTTGTCCTGTGCTCTGTCGGGGCTGTAAATCAGTATGTCGTCCATGTATACGATGACGCACTTTTCTAAAAGCGGGCGGAAGGCTTCGTTCATGGTCATTTGGAAAGTGGCGGGGGCGTTGGTCAGTCCAAAGGGAGTGACGGTGTATTCGAAGGATCCGTAGCGTGATGGGAAGGCTGTCTTAGAGCAGTCGGGTGGGTTGACGCGAATCTAGTGGTAACCTCCCCGAAGGTCAATTTTCGAGAAAACCCGGGCTGTGCGCAGCTGGTCGATCAGTTCGTCGGATCGCGGGATGGGGTAACGGGATTTGATGGTAACCCTGTTCAGTGCTTTGTAATCTATGCACATGCGAAATCGCTCATCTTTTTTCGGCGTGAACAGTATCGGTGCTGCGAAGGGCGACGAACTAGGGCAAATGAACTCCTTCTCGAGCAAGTAATCCAGCTGCTCCTTCAGTTCATCCAGTTCGGGTTGGGTCAGTTGGAACTGTCATTGTACTGTCGGCTGTGTCAGAATATATTTGCTGTCTAGCCTGCAGTGGGGTACTCTGTAATGAGTACAACCCAATTTAGGGCATTGTACTTGTATCCCAACCCTTCCTAGTGAAACCACTTCTCTTGCAATTTTCTCGACTTACCTAAACCCTCTCGAAATCGATCACCTAGGCACCTAAACTATGGCTTCTAAGCCTACCTTTGCTTAAGATTTTGAGATGGTATTAGAGCTTAACGCTCTTGGCCTGTGGGCCCACTCGATTCCGCTGCCCTATTCTGTGTCGTGCGCCCCGTGGCGCACGACCACCTTTTTTTCTTCCCGCCACGCGCTCGGGGCGCGTGGCGGTTTTCTGCCCGCCGTGCGCCCCGAAGCGCGCGGCGGGTACCTACCTCGTCGCGGCGTCTTGGGAGCCTGCGCGCTGGCCCCGACCGTCGCCTTGTCGCGGCGTTTTGGGGGCCCGCACGCAGGTCCCTCCCGTCGCCTCGTCGCGGCACTTTCTGGGCTCGCGAGCCGGCCCCTCCCGTTGCCTCGTCGCGGCGCCTTAGGGGCCTGCGCGCGGTCCCCTCTCGTCGCCCGTCGCGGCACTTTCGGGGACCTGCGCGGCTCCCTAGCACGTCACCCTTCAGGGCACAATGGGGGCCGCGCCCTTCCCCTCCCCTCCGTCCTACTTTCCGCTGCAGCAGCCCCAGCAGCTGCAGCCCCTAAAACGGCCACCGCAGCAGCACCAGCTCCAGGAGCCGCCGCCCGAGCAGCAGCCCCCGGGGCCGCCCCAGTAGCAGCAGCCCCGGGAGCAGCCGCCCCAGCAGCTGCTGCCTCTGGAGCGGCCACCCCAGCAGCAGCAGCTTGTGGAGCAGCCGCCCCAGCAGCAGCAGCCCCGGGAGCAGCCGCCCCAGCAGCAGCAGCCCCTGGAGCCGCTCCAGCAGCAGCAGCCCCGGGAGCAGCCGCCCCAGCAGCAGCAGCCCCGGGAGCAGCCGCCCCAGCAGCAGCCACTGGAGCAGCCGCCCCAGCAGCAGCTGCCTCTGAAGCGGCCACCCCAGCAGCAGCAGCCCCTGGAGCCGCTGCTACTGCAGCAGCCACCCCACCAGCAGCAGCAGCCGCCCCAGCAGCAGCCCCAGCAGCGGCAGCCACTGGAGCAGCCGCACCAGCAGCAGCCGCCCCTGGCCCCTGCAGCAGCCGCTCATGGACCAGGTGCAGCCGTGGGGGGTGAGTGTTGGGGTGCTAGTTGTGGGGGTGTCGGTTGTGCGTGCCGTCCCCTCCTCCTCCTCCTCCTTCGTCTCCCACTGCTACAGCTCTCGCTGAGGGGGGTGGATGTGTGGGAGACTGGGGTTTAGGGTTTAAGGGGGGGTGGGTGGGAGTGGAGCTAGCGGTATAGCAGCGGGTGTGTGTCGGGGGGTGGGACTGTGTGCGGGAGGATGAGCGGAGGTTGCCAGTCTGTTGTCCGCAGCACCTGTAGTCCGGGCGCTTAGTCCGGTAGCCCAGTGAGTTTGTTTCTGCGCCAGTCGCCCGAGGGTCCGTTGCCCGTCTGCCGCTACTTGAGCCGCGGGGCCTGTTACTCCTGTAGTCCGGGCGCTTAGTCCGGTAGCCACTGTGCTCGCCACTCCTGTTGCCCGTGTGTCTGCAGCTTCAGCCACCGCCTTCTATCTCCTCTCCTCTCACTCTCCCTCCTCCTCCTCACTTGCCCGTTGTGACTACCACTAGCTTTGCTGATAATTGTGCACTTTAACTATTGCTTCTTGAACTTGTGCTCAGAATGTGTGGTGACATTGTGATCCACCCTGAGCTTGTACTGCTCTGCCTGCTCTGCTGATTACACCCCACTTTGGCTATGGGGGTGTGTCAGAATATATTTGCTGTCTAGCCTGCAGTGGGGTACTCTGTAATGAGTACAACCCAATTTAGGGCATTGTACTTGTATCCCAACCCTTCCTAGTGAAACCACTTCTCTTGCAATTTTCTCGACTTACCTAAACCCTCTCGAACTCGATCACCTAGGCACCTAAACTATGGCTTCTAAGCCTACCTTTGCTTAAGATTTCGAGAGGCTGTGCCCCCCGTTCCAGTTCTATCATGTGGTCGTGCGGTCGCTAAGGTGGCAGTCACGTCGATATGTTATCCAGGAAGATGTCACTGTACTGCTTCAACAGTGCTGCCAGATCACTCGGTACGTCGGCTAGCAGTTTCTGTAAATCCCCTCCTTTGTCTGCTGCCTCGGCTTCCCGAATGTCGTCCGCGTACACGTCAGCTCCTACCGCTACGGCGCGTTTCATCATGATCGCGTTGATACGCACCGACGAAGACTCAGGCGAGCCCCAGCAAGGTAAGGCGATGTTGTTACCGTTCACTCGCACAGTGCAGTCACCCGTTGTCGAGTCGATTCACGGATTGTGTCGTCGCAGCCAATCACGCCCGAGTAAAATATCGGTTCCGTCGAGGGTCGTTGCGAGCATTTCCTGGCTAAACGTGAAGTTACCCCCGCATCGAATCCGAACTCGGTCCACCCGTTCCCGTATTGCTAGTGGCGTGCCGTCGACCAGTCTTACGTCGATCTCAGGTAAGCATCTGTACACTTGCAGTCGCTCTTTTTGTGCTGTGGAAGTGTTGATAAGGCTGTGGCTGGCCCCTCCGTCTACAAAGTTTTTAACCAAGTCCGTCCTGATTTTCCCACTAAGCAATATAGGGCTGTCTACCGTAGTACCCTCCTTATTCGGCCGGGTGTAGTCGATTGCGTGAACCGGCACAATCACTCGGTGAGGGTCGGTTGGGTCGGGCGAGCGGCGTGACCCGTCAGTAGAGGGCCCGTCTGCTACTAACTCCCAACGTTTCCCTGCAGCTTGGTCTGTTTCTGCTTCTCAGCTTCCCCCTTTCCCTTAGCGTTTTTCGGGCATTCTGTGAGGATCTAGGATCGAGCTCAGAAAAGAGAATGTTTATTGAATGATCACCTGGGTACAACACGAGGCTATATATAGGCTCGACACAAGTCCTAGTAACTAGGTGTTACGTGAAGGTTCCGTGGGTCGCGAAGCGTCCCGAACAGATCCTTCCTGAATTCGGTAGAAGGCAATTCGGTGGGAACAGAAAAGCCCAGAATTCGGTGCACGCAACCTAGCTCGGTGCTATAACTATAATAAAATATAGGAAAGCACCTAGCCTAGGAAATCAAGCATTTCATGCATGCATATAATTATCCTATGCTAGAAATAGCATAATAAAGCAAAGGCAAGCAAGCATATCTGACATAAGCCGTCGTACTCTCACATGTCCCACTCTCAAAGCTGGGTGGCATGAGAAACACCCTGCTTGACAAGATAGTCCTTGAGAGCACGGCGTGCGTTGCCCATATCAGCTTCTGCAACCCAACTGTCCTCAGTGGGGTCGTATCCCTTCCAGCGTATCAGGAATCCGAGGGTCTTGCCGCCGCAGTGCCGATGAGTGAGAACACGTTCCACTTCGTACTCGGGTTCATCCTGTATGAGAACAGGTGGTGGTGGCAGTAGTTGCCGTCCCTGGAACTGTTGGTTGGGGTCCTTGTAGGGTTTCAGTAGCTGGACATGGAAAGCGTTGTGAAGCTTCCATGAATCTGGTAAGCGCAAGTGGAATGTAACTGGTGTCACCTGTGACTCAACGAGAAAAGTACCACAGAAGCAAGGCCGGGGTTTGGATGGAAGGTGAGATAGGTTCAAGTTGCGCGTGTCAAGAAGCACCTGATCTCCGACTGCTACTGAGTGGTCACG